GAGACAATTCGCAGCCTGAAGGCGACGGAGTCTGAGACGATGGAGACGCTGGAGTCGATTCGAGCGAAGCTGTCGGAGACGGAGGCGCGCGTGGTTTCTACTGAGGAAGCGCTGAGGGCATCCCATCTAGCGCTCGAACAAAAGGAGAACCTTCTTATTCATCTGACGAACGAGAGAGCTGCTCTCGTTGAAAAGGCTGAGACGTACGGTTCAACTGTGGCTGACCTCGAGGCAAAGCTTCAAGCTCAAACTCTAGATCTCTCCACAGCCGCAAAGCACATCGAGAAGCTCGAAAATCAAGCTGCTCAGCTTGAATCGCAGCTTCATGACCACGTACAAGCCGTTGAAGACAAATCAGCTAAAGAGATTGAGGCTCTCAAGGAACAAGTAGCATCACTGGTCGAGTCTCTCAACTCATCCCAAGCCGAAACATCAACTCTCCGTGAACAACACTCGAGTAAGGACGAAAGCCACGCTGCTAGCATTTCTCAAAAGGACGAAGTGATTTCAACATTGAAATCGAAGCTGGAGGAGGTCATGAAGGCGTACAAGCGACTGAAGACGCACGTGCAGGAGCTGCAGGACCGACTGACACAACAGATCTCAACCAACGACAGTCTCAAGACGTCGTATGAAGAGCTGAATACGCAGCACGCTGCGTCTCTGACAGAGCTAGAAGCATTGAAACTCGAGCTTGTTTCAACCCGTCAACAGTCCAGTGCGATGGCAGAAGAATTGCGTCAAGCTGAAGAGAAGTTTACAGAGGCGCAAGCTCAACGCGAGAGTCGAATGGAGACGTTTAAGCAGCGGATCTTGGCGTACGACGACGAACTTACTCGGAAACAAAAGCAACTCGAGCACAAGGAGACGCTACTAGCGGATGCTACTGCGCGTGACGAGGCTGCAGAAATGAAGGTGTCTGAGCTGGAGAAGGAGCTGGTAACGTTGACTGATACAGTCGAAAAGAAGGAACTGGAGCTGCAGAGCAGGACCGACGAGATCCGACATCTTGAACAGGCAGACGAGAAGCACGAAGCCCAACGGATGGAGCTTGAAGCGCAGTTGGATTCAGCGAATAAAACTATCGAGAAGCTTCATGCAGCAGATGTCGACGTGGGTCTACAACGCGAAAGTATCGCGCAGTTGGAGAGTCAAGTGGCCAAGTTGAAGCTTCAAGTGGAAACCGAGACGGAAGGCGCTAGCGCTGCTCGATCTGCACTGGAAACGTACAAGAAGCGAGCACATACTGCTCTCAAGAAGGCGTCGAGTGAGAACAAGCTAAATTTGAAGAAAGCAGCAGAAAATTCGACCAAGTTGGAGCAAGAATTAGAGTTCGCGAAGGGTCGAATAAGCGCTCTTGAAGCGGAGCTGGAAGATACTCGACAACGCATGACGGAGGTTGAGAAGACTGGAGATGCGCGTGCACAGAGCGCTCGTGAGGCTCTGGAGGCGGAGAAGCGGTCTTTGGAAACAGCTTTGACTCTAGAGATCGACAGCTTAAAGGCTGAAGTGACGCGACTGGAACAGGCCTTGGAGAACGACCGGATACCTCTTGAAGCTCGGATCAAGCAGCTGACGGAGAGCAATGAAGCGTTGAATAACGAGATTATCTCTCTCAAGGAGGACACCCGGACGCAATCCGAGTCTATGGAGCAGACAGTTCAAGCCAAGGACGACGAGATCGACGATTTGTCGAAGCAGCTCCAGGCTGCTCTTGCTGCTGCTGCTTCGCTCGCTACAAATGAAGCTGGACGACGCTCGTACTCGCCTGCTATCTCCCCTACGGAGAAGGAGCGACGGTCGACTGCATCTTCTTCGCGCTCGTTTGACTCTGATCGCAACAGCTTCTTGCATCAAGCAACGAGTGACGAGCACATGGCTGCAGCCGTCGCTGACTCATGTCCGATCCCGCTTGCGTCCAAGACCAACGGTGTGGATCAGTCCAAGTCTGAGGATGAAGTTATGAGGCTGAAACTCCAGCTGAATGAACTGGAAACCAAGTCTCATCTCTACCAAAAGAAGGTATGCAAAATATGGAGGATGTCTTGGTGGTATACTGGCTAATATCTTGTATTTCTTTGCAGTACGAAGACATTTCTGCTCAGTTGGAAGACGTTAGACAACAGACGCATCTCCAGGAACGTGATGAACATTCTACCCAGGCGATTAATGTCGAGTATCTGAAGAACGTCATCATGAAGTACATCGAGAGCCAAGTGCAGAGTGAGAAGGAGCAGCTGGTGCCTGTCATCTCCACGCTGCTGAACTTGAGTCCGCAGGAGCATCAGAAGGTGGTGGCTGCACACAGGCCGAACGATGAAGGCGCAGGACTGTTCGGTGGCGTGTTCTCGCTCTTCGGTGGTGCCACTGCTGCGCCGCCACCGAAACCTCTGGCAGCACCACACAACTTCAAGCCTTCGCCTACTGTGAGTGGCAACACGACGGGTGCTGCTCTCGGCAGCAAGGACAAGAACGGCGTGTTATCGTTCGGCAGCGACCCAAGCGACGACGAGGAATTTGCAACGCCACTCAATCCGTTCGCTGCCTAGTCGTCTACACGTGAGTGACGTCAGAAACTACAATTTAGATGCATAAAGTGAAGAGGGATTATTATAATGCGTTAGATTCATGAAAACTACGTGATAGTCTGCCAACATTTCGAGTTACACAGTAGCAGGAGGAACAATCCATCGAAACAGGATCGTTTAGCAATAACGTTACCTTTTGTGGTGATGAAAATGCTATACTGTTGCAGTTGTTCTGCTCGACAGTGCTACCCCAGCTCGATTTTTTCTTTTGTGATGGAACACGGTCGTCATTTACGGCAGAGCTCAACCAACAGGAAGCAATAAATGCTTCAACGTGCTTTGACGAATTCAACATCTTGTTCTCCATGCTAGAGATGCACCCAAACTCCAGATTACATCTTGCTGATGAGTTGTTGACCACGAGGACATAATGACTCGAATCAAATTTCCCAAATTGCCTAAATCCATCAGCACAGTGCACGCCAGAGCTTCATGCTCTCTATCGGCCAGTTCGTTGACAAGTTTTCCGCGAGAAAGCTGCTGCCTTCGGCAGTATAGGCATGTGATTCGTGCCAAAGCAGCGCATTTACGTAAACGTTTCCATGCCAACTTCAAAGAAGACTGAAGATCAGGTCAGCGATGTCAGGTCACTGCTTCAGCCTAAGGCAGGAACGGACACGGCCGTCTTCAGACTCCACTAATGAGGCGTCGACAGCGCGACTCGGGGCATCCCATCGGCGCTGGCATCCAAGCAGCAGCTCCGCGTTCTGGTGCGAGAGTTCGCCCGTGAATGCACGGCCAGCCGATCGCGCAAGCGCGCGGCAGGCCGGAACAAGCGTGAAAAACGCGCGTCTCCTCTTTGTCTCTACGCCTGGATCGGCGAAATGGATGGCGGTAGAGGTTTGCGCGCCTGATTGCGGAATGTCGGTAGAAATGTCGGTAGACTTTACTCACACGTCCACGAAGACGTAGAACAAGTTGTGGTGTCCCTGGGAGGACCAATTTTCGATGTAGTCTATCCAGCATTTTGCGGGGGTAGTACGCTCAGTGGCACGTGGCAAAGGCAGCCAGGGTCAATTTCTTCAGAGGTTTTGGCAATTTAGCTGTTGCTGAGGTCGGTGTGGACCAAGTGATCTCTTTAGAGAACTCGCCCCCAAGCCAAGTTCTTTTGTTGGTCCTTCGTTGATCGATGACGAGCAAGCCCGCCGCTATCAGTCACCAATTTCAGTGATAAAAGCTATAAAGGCTGGGACAACGAGTGGAGAGAGGTTGCTTAGTGTGGCCGTCGTGACTTGATCCGTGACGGATGCAAGACACCAGAAGCGCATGTAACGACAAGACCGAGATGGGCGTCGAAACCGCTCATCCGAGTGCTGAAATCTCATCCACGTGGATGCACTTCAGCTCAGCGTGCTGCTCTTGATGGCAATTTTTGTTTTTGAGGCTTGCAAGAGTGCTGCGACTTTGTTATCACCCGGTAACTTACCACTGGTAAGATACATACATAGGACTGGAAGTGTGATGAACGCCCACTGTTGCTATTGCGGAGGCACTGCTCAGTGTGTATGGTATCCGCTCAGATACTTGTTGGTCGTCAAACGCGTTTTGGTGCGTCTGTTCGCTTGTTCCTCACACTTTTCTCCTTGAAGCTGTCTGTGCAACGTCTTTAGCCAATCACGCCGGTCGAAAAATAAAATAAAAAACACGAACCCCAAGAGCCAACATTAAACCAACGGTAGAATCCGCTGAAACGCTCCAAAGCAAGCAGCATCGCACACGACATGAACGCAGCCGCAAAATAGCGCCCTGAGCTGCGATCGAGGTGAGATTTCGGTCAGACCCACGACAAGAATCGAGCCGGTGATTTTCTGCTTGGGAGATGCCCCCCGCTCAACGGCTGTTGGGCAGACGGGACGGTCAGGTGCTGCTTTTTCTATTTCGCAACGGCAGGGCCCCCGACGATTTTTTGAAGTGGCCACTGCCGGGTTGCTTGCTCACCTCGCGATCCTGTACAGCCGTTAAGTTTACTGTACCATGTGTGCGTCTGTTCACAGCCTAAGGCCAGGCCTCAACAGCGGCAAATAGCACGTAGCAGCAACCACGAAATTGTTGCGCACAGTTGTTTAGTTGCTTGCCCAGCCGATTTGATAACTTCAAGACGTCCAGGACATCGCTCGACACGCAACAACAGCTCGCCGATCCTTTCTGGTGTTGAGCTCATTGACGACGGCCGTCAAAAGCAACACATATCATGGTTAAAGGCGTTGCTTTATACAGGCCCCTGTCGCCAGGGGAGAGTGCACACCAACAGCCGTTCTACAGTACCAAAATAGCACCCTTCGACAAGTTCAACTTGGCCTCGCCCCACAAATCCAAAGCCCTTTTTGCGCCAATCCGAGCCGCACAGCGCCGCATTTTGAGCAAATCCACGGCATTTCCTCGTCCAAAGCGATCGCGTTTTCCAGAATTTGATCACCACTCATGCATCGGTTTAGGAAGGGAAGATGGGATTCCTTTTTCTGACCGGCGTCTCTCTCCGCGTTCACTTCATTCGCAAATTTGCCCTGAAGCGCGCACTGCTCCGAGCCAAGACCCCAGCCCCAAGAGACCAACACTCTTCATTCCAAAGTTTTTATACTATGGAGTTCGCCCGCCGCTTTTCCCACACCAGCGAGATGCTTCAGGCCACTACGTTTAAGGACGCGCGGCAACCCGGAGGCCTGCACGTGGACACGAACAACAACCGTAGCCCCAAGAGCCCCCAGGAGCCGCAGCACGATGCCAGTCCTACGTCCAGCCCGAATTTGGGCCCACGCTCAGCGCCGTCGTCTTCGCACAGCATGGATAACCAGCGTCGGCGCCGCAGCCACTCAGAGTGCCTCCTTCTAGCCAAGACAAACGGCACGCAGGATCTTCCCGGACCCTGCGCAGAGTACATCAGCAATGTGAAGCAGATGCTGGCCCGCAATGAGGATCAACTCACGCAGCTGAAGCGGCGCCGAAGCATGAACCTTAGCCACCCTTCGCTGTTCAAGTAAAACTCCAGTCCGAGACGGACCCGCAGCGAAGAGTAAGCTGCACGTTGGCGTCGGCCGACAGAGCGTCGACAACGTTATTTTATAAGGAACCAAGCTGTTGTATTTAATACCAAGACCAGTATACTCCGTTTGACTCAAAACTTTAGCCCCAAATGTTGTTAGCTTTTACTACTAGTATCTTGTTGAACACTACACTAATCCCTGATGTGTGAATGCAGTAAGGGGGAAAGCTACCTTGAGTTTGTCCTCGCTCAGCGCGCAGATGGGCAGACGACAGAGCTCACACTCGTACATCTCCCAAGTGTCAGAAGAGGACGAGCTCTTCCCGCGCTGTAGGCCTCGTACCAGGTCCTGCGGCTCCGTACTCGCTCTAGTGTCCTCAACCTTACTGCTTTGTCGCTTGAGAATGTCGAAGCGGGACGTGCGCCGCTCACTCGTGATGGAAGGCGGAGTTTGTCCTCGAGTCACCGAGACCGTGTCAAGTACCACCCATTGCACTGCATGTCCTCGAGTCTCTAGTGGCAGTACGAGCTTCTCCTCTGCGTTCTCGTAGACGAACAAGGAGTCCACAGGATATACATCTTCTTCTTCCTCAAATAAATAACAGCAGGTAGGGAGAGCTTCCGCTAATACTGAAGTCTCTATACAGAATAGAGCGGCATCACAGCGACACTGCATCATGGTGCATTTCTCAGTGTCCTCGACGCGAGTATTTGAGTACACCATGAGTTGTTTGAGGAATTCTGGCGTGGGATACTCGAAAAACTGCGCACAGTCTCGAGCGAAATAGCGGAGAATGTCGAATGTAGGTATGTTTACTGCACTGCGCAAGAAGAAAAACAGAATGTTGGTCAGAATTCCCTGGAGCGTCTTGGTGTCCTCGTCATCCCTCCCCAACGCCACAAAAACCACACAACCAGCTTCGTCTTGAAGACACCGCTGGATCACCGGAAAGTACTGCGCCGCGTGCTGCTGGAGCACGTGCAAATCCAATGTGACATCAGCGTTGAGAAACAAACAAGTGCGATGTTTCTCTTCGTGAATTTCCGCGAAAAATTGTGACATTTTGTGAACATTTGAATCGCCTGATTCGTGCCAACTCAAATAGACAAAATGCACGAAATTGTCCTCGAACTTGGACTCAAAGGCATCTAAAGCCAAAATATCCTTGCTGGCCGGACCGGAGCCACACCCGATACAACTTTTCACCTTTTGAGTGTCTTGAGTCTTTATAACTTTAGCAGCTAGGAAGAAATTCCAAAACAAACGAACTGGAACAATCACACCATGAGTTTCTACACGCTTTCGACTTGAAAGAGTGGCAATAGCAGACCGAAGATCAGAATCAACGTCGATTGGCGAATTCTTGCTGCTCCCTTGGCACAGACTCATAAAAGACTCATCGGTGGGTGTCACGGGTAATGCGTTCACGTCGGTGATCAATTTTCGAACTTGAGCGGTAACTGTTTCCAGCTTCGGACGTCGAGTAGGTTCTCGGATCAACATATTGCTACAGAGTTCCAATAACTTCGTTACCACTGCTTCTTCCTCGCTTGTCGTGGGGTTCAAAGCTGTAAAGACTTTTTGCTTATGATCCGAGCGTAAAACTGACTGATCTTGAGTCACAACAAGATGCGCATACAAACCTGCCCAGTCATCTATAAGAACGAGTTTTTAGAACCTCCAAATTTCGTGGTTTTCTTAAAAGTGATCTTACCGTTCTGGAAGAGAAGTTCTTGCGTCACCAGCTCATACAATAAACAGCCTAGCGACCAGATATCACTGGCCAGAGTGACTTTAACTGCCACTTCGCTACCTTTAATTTTTAAGACCTCAGGGCTCTTGATAGCTTCTGTTCCTCGTGTTCGCGTCAATGACATGAACTTCTCCGCTCGTTTATGATTGACTGGAGACGTAGTACCCGATGAAAAAGATGAAAATGTGGACGTTCGCACTGGTATCCGATCGGTATCCACGACTTTGGCCTCTCCAAAGTCAGCGAAACACAACCAGCCTTTGAAATTGTTGCTAGGCTTGTCGATTTCATAATTCTGTAACAATTTGTAACTCAGCTCAAGTGCACTCGATCGAACCAGAATATTATCGCTCTGTCGTAAAAAAGATAAAAATGAGTACAAAAACAGTTTAATACTAAAAAAAATTACCTTGATGTCAAAGTGGCAAATGCCCCCTTCATGAACGCGAGTTAAGCAATGACAGGCTTCTTCAAACGCCCGTAGGATCATTACCACACAGGATCGGAAAGGAACTTCAGAGTCTTCCCTCTTTATAGTATTCCTCCACTCCGTAAGGGAACATGGACAATATTCCATAACAATCTCAAAATTCTGCTCTTGGTGATAATTTCCAAAATCTACAAGTTGTGTAGCTGACAGATTGCCTCGCAGCTTGGAGAGAATCGATATTTCATTGTACAAACCACTTACAGCGCATAGTTCACCAGCTCTTCTTTGATGCTCAACAACTTTTACAGCGACATATCCAGACTTAGAAAATGCTGAATGTTGTCGATAAACCGTCGAAAACGCTCCTTTCGCAATATATTCTCGTGAATCGTCATCTTGTGACGTGTATAAATTATTGCTAGAGCGATTCGGACACAATAATCTCAATAGTGAACGGATCGCTGACAACCGCGCAGTCGACACAAAAGCTTGCAGTGTCTTCATCTCCACCATAAGTACTTCAAAATACCTCTGGTCCATATCCACGACTGCTAAATGTTGTTGCAGCTTCCATAGTAACTCATTTGGTCCGTTTACGTCTGTTTCTGGTTGATCAGGGACAGATATACGCGGACATATCGCTTCATCGATCTCTAGATTCGGATCGACAATAATATATGTCACCACTAGAACAATTGCTAGAACGTGTAGCCCTGGCTCGCGCAACATGACATTCTCATCAAGACTTACTTGTTCGTGTCGAGATTTCGGACTTAATAGCGACAATTTCGCGATGCCAACGTGATTAACTGGTGTATCGGAGGTATCAGTGCTTGGTTGCCGGAGGAGCTTGAGTGGCGGTAAGCTCGGAATGGAGGAGTTTGTATGGATGCCGAGAGATTCGCCATTTTCACACTGAGATCGAAAATTCACTTCTAAAGACGAAAGTTTTGGCTGAAGACGTTGTAGAACACAGGAAAGCACTCGATTATGGTTGAATGCGTCTTGAATAGCAGGAAATTGCGATCTCCGACTTGCTAGAACAATTAGGCATCGAAGATTTAGCTCCACTATTCGATACACCATTTCGAGTTCTTCTTGTCCTTCATTCTCAATAATACGGTCGCAATACTGTTCAATTCGACACCAATGACTGGCAACACATACGTCATAGTCGATAGGAGAGCTCGCATCTTGAGCGGTGTAGAGAGCTTGCATTAAGCGTAAGAAAGCTTCTTCCAACTTGAAATACTCTCGCGAGATATTCGTGAGTAAACTGGGCGGTACAGATAACGAGCGAAATGATACCGCCATGCCAATCATGCGTGAACTACCGTTAAATGTTACAACAGTGTTCGCTCCACTGGCTGGGAACATGAGCTCGAGCATAAATTCCCAAAGTGTTTCTTTCTGCTCTTCCTCAAGCGTCATGCGAGGACCAATTAGTCTTATCAACAGCTCTCCTTTAAGTTGCTCGATAACTTCAGCGTCTTCATTCATACTGTCTTCGTCACTTGATTGACTATTCTTTGATTCCCAATCCGTTTGCACAGGCAAAACGATGTCAAGATTTACGAACGCGATCAAGAAATTAAGCACATTTATCTGCATACAAACAGCCTCTCGTCCATTGTTGATACTCAGTGCATGTGGAGATAAAAGAAAGCGAAGAAGCGAGATGATTGCTGGATCTGTACCAAGAACGCGTACAAGCATAACTTGAATATCTGGATCACTGGTGCGTCGTAACACCACAGCAAACACCTTACAGACCTCGTACCCATAGCGAACATATCGTGGTTGTTTGAGTTGGGATCTATCTGTTTGTTTGATGACGTTACTCAGATTATTCACTGCTTGTAGTAATTCTTTAAGGCAAAGCACCATCCATTCGTCTAAAAATGCCTTCGGAATCCACGTTAAAACCTCAGCCAATGCATTCAGAAAACTGTCATCAACTTCCTGAACTTGTGCAGTATTTTCTCCTTCTGATTCTCCCATTTGATCCTCACAAGTGGTATTCAGCTGAAGACTCTCGTTGAGTTCACGAATCTTGGTTCGGAATAAATAAATAAAACCCAGATACTTTTTATCCCCGACAGCTGAGCTGATTTCCTCTCTGCGTTTCCGCTCCAGACGAAAAAGTGTCGATACACAAGTGATAACAACCCGTAGCTCACAAGCTAATGCGTCTCGAGTGTTAATGTCTAGAACTTCACCCCGCCGACGTACGATACTGATAATTTCATCGAAAAGATGCCGATGAATTTCTTCAAGGCGAAGCAAGAGAGCAACGTCGCGATCCCAGTTCGCAAAATAGTTTTTGTGATACAAAAATCGTAAAGAAATCTGTAACACGAGCTCGTACAAATTCACTTTAGGAGACGATCCCAAACGCTTTCGAGCGCAAATTGTTGTTGCTTCTCTTCGCTCTAGACACGAACAAAAGGCGATTTTGGCCAATACTGGGTCTTGTTTCCACACATCTGGAGATGTAAAGAATCCTTCTTGTAGATACCCTCCAAGATACGTTTGTACGGATGCAGGACTGAGTCGAAAAAAAGCCAGATTTTTCGATTTTAAAGCTGGCGTCGAGGTCAAGTTTGTTCCAAATGATAATGATTTCCTAGATTTTATCCCCTGCGGCTTCCGTGCCAGTTTAAACAAACTCATTTTGCGGCCTCCGTTACCTTCCAGCGTGTTGGCAGCACTAGTCGATGTAAACGTCCGAAAGGAACGAGAATTTGATTTTCCTCGTGGATCTGACCCAAAAGCTGCGTCTTTATGAACATCACTGTGTCGAAGAGTCTTCCAGAGAAGCGAAATGCCTTGATTTCGCAAAAATAACCGCAAGAAAGCTGGAAATAATACCACAAGATCTCGAATAAAGTCGATCAACTCAGCAGGAATTCGAATACGAGACCCAAATATTTGACAAAGGTGGTGCACCAACCGACAAACCACCGAGTCATCGCTCCGTACAGTCATGAAGAGGATGGCAAACCGCATAGCGCGGGCAAATTGCGCTAAAGTCTGTCGACTTTTGTAAAACTCGATCTGTTCCGTCTTCGAAAAAGTCGCAGAGATGATCAATAGTTCTAGCAAAATCGGGATAATTCGTCCAACGATTTTTTTCTTTAGTGCTGACCATTGTGTTGGCTTAGAGAATGGAGTAGTTTCATCACGAGTCGTAGTATTCACGAAGCAGAGATGCATTTCATGCAACACGGCCAGTAGCGAGTCAGGAAGCGGTTCATGTGGCATGATTGATCCACAAGCAGCGTCAACCGCATTGAGTACAGCCAGTTCCTTGTCGGTTGAGCTCAAATCAATACAATTCTGGAGTGAAGATTGCTGAGAAGGGATCGTATTCATTGTTGTCTCCTTGAGGATCACTAGATCCGGCGTTAAGAAATTATCACGGATAGCACTAAACCTAAGATAAAAAATAAGATAAAAAGCGTTAATCTCAAGACTAATATATATATAACTTACAGAACTTACGTAAAATCGGGTTCAAACGCGCGTTTAGTGGAGAATGACGTTGCTAGGACAAGAGCCGACGGTTTATGCGTTCCATCTGCCACTGTAATTGCGAATTTATTAAAGTCGAACTCCACCTGTCGAACTTGAATAATTGAAGTAGAATCTGTAATATTCCCAGGTACGGTGAGAATATAAAACCCACAAGCTTCAGGCATAAGGCCAACTGAATAACCTGTCGGGGGTATCATCGAAGGTGTCCAGTCCTCTAGCTTAATTTCCTCATCCACGTGTGGCTCACAGCACAATTCGAACACGATCGCTTGGACTTGAGGAAGAAAACGCTTCCAACAATGTTCCACCATGAAATACGAATCTGACGCTAGGCGTAAGTTATGTACTGGTGTCACGTCCTGTTCTTTCTTGCGTAACTTTGCCAGTTGAATCGCATCATCATTTTTCTTAACATCTTTGCCTTTCACCAGTGTCAGCGCTCTCACTGCTTGTCGAAATTTCACGTACACTGCGATCGCTGAGTCTTCTTCTTTAACCAACAGAAAAGTTCCAGGCGGTTGAGCTAGCAGCGAAGCCATCGCAGCATCACAATTCGGGGCCAGTACAGCTACAAAACTCGGATCTTTCTGGGTTGTCGCACAGGAAATCACCTTTGCATCGTCGTGGCTGCTGTCTCCAGTGGGTAAACGATAGGCAGCAGCACTCTGAGCGTCCGATTTGTCGCTCAGTAGTACGACCACAGCCCCGACAGCTAATTCTTCCTCTTCACGGTGGCTCCCACGTCGAGACTGAATCTTCGACCGATCCGATATGGAAGGCGCTGCACGGGGGGCCACACTCATGACTCAAGGCGAGTACACACCCTGCAGGGTAATGGAGAAGCTTATTGGCCTATGTATTACCTAGTGGGGATATTTGCAGCGGTTACGACGATGAGAGGGGTCAGGAGTTATCTATCTGACCATCACTCCAAGTTGAAGTACCATCACTCAGGATTGGATCATTTTTGGTGGGGTTTATTCTTGAGTGATAAAATAGTGAACATACTATAAAGCCAAATAGGCCTTCTAGAACTCAATTAATGACAACTTCAATGCCATTTGGAGTGCCTCCTCTTCGGACTGAAGCTCTCCATACCCACTTGCCGAGTTCTGAGTAACGAGCTTAATGCGTTGTCCACTTCGCAGAGCCATCGTCGTCTCGTCCAACTGCTCCGTCGTCGTTTTGGTCTTCTCAATCTCACCCACAGCTTCTTTCGCTCTCTCATTCACTGTCTCCTCAGCAGTAGATTTTTCCAAATCAACGCCTTTGTGCTTCTTACGTGGTACGTTCATCTCGCCAGGCTTGATCGTAGCTTTTCTGAATCGCTTGGCAGGTTTATCACCTACTGGAACATCACTCTCGCTGTGTTCCATGCATTTACCACGTAACTGAACACGCTTTTCGCATCCTGAATGCGAACAGTTAACCCACCCACCATGAGAAGTACATTTCCCGTTTGCAGTAACCAATTTATCGCACTCTTTTTCCGAGCAGACTGTTCCTCCTCCATGGGCGACACATTTGCCCTTCGTCTTGGCTCGAAGAGGACAAGTCGGATGAGAGCATAACATTCCTCCACCATGAGCATAGCATTTGCCCTGTGAACGAGACCGACGACCGCAATTCTCTTCAGCGCATCGAGAACCTCCGCCATGACGAACGCACTTACCACGTGAATGAGCAAACTTCGTACAATCCGGTAGTGAACAGCGTGGACGATCACTATGCTTGGCACACTTGGATTTGGACTGTGTTGGCTGTGAGCACTTGGGATACGAACAGCGGTCGGGGTTATTGTGATCACAGGTCTGTAGTTTATTGGTGGCTTGGCCTTTATCCACTTTGGATTGAGCAGTTTTGGGCTGCTTCATAGACGAAGAATTTGTGTTTGCATCTCCACCAGGAGGTCTGGAACGTTTGTGTTTGGGTCTTGCTGTCGTAGCTTTCTCAGTTGTTCTGCATCTTTTGGTCTGCTGCTGTTGCTGCTCCTTTTGTGTTGTTAACGGTTGCTCAGGATCTGTTTTTGATTGTACTCCAAGCGATTTCTTCGCTTTTCGGGTTTTGCTGATGCCTTTTTTCGGATTTCTCTCAAGCACCGGTGATTCAGATTCAGCTTTTGCCTTCGCTTGCACGGATCGTTTCCTTGATTTCGAACTTTTAGGCGTCTCCTGCGTGGGTTTAGTTTTCTCTTGCTTAACAGTTTCCCCGTTCAGCGTATGCCCATAATCACCATTTGATTCTGACGTAGAAGATCTTTTCCTGGCTGCCCGAGATTTCTTACTTTTCATCCGATATTCAACGTTCACAGGAGAATCATCACCTGTCGCCATCTTCGCTGTTATGTTGGCTTCCAGAGAGTCTGACTCACATTGATCCAGCCTCTTGTCTTCGAACACACTAGTTCGGGGATCAATGTTCATCTTGGTCGTCACTTCCTTCTTAGATCCGGTATGTTCGCCGCCTTCCTCGAGCTTATGCTCCTGCTTTTGCTTCTTCTTTTTCTTCCCCTCCGGTCTAGTCTTAAAATCATCAAGTTTTGGGCAATTTGTAGTTTTATCCTCCTCCAATTTATTACACTTGATTTCAGTATGCCCGACATCGTTAGAGACTTCGGCGTGGTTTGTGCCCTCATCATCGCTGAATACGTCGCCGGCAGCGAAGCGCTTGGCCTCGCTTGACACTCCCTTGGTCGCCTCCATTGGCACGAGAACGCCCATCACAGATATGAACTCCAATTCGACGTCGTCGGCGACCATGACGCCCCCACTGCCAGACGTCTCACTAATAATGTGGTTTTGATAAGGACGTTTGCTTTTTTGGTCAAATTTAGGACAGACTAAACGGACCAGATGGTGCTAAGTTTTAGAATTGTCGCTAACTTAAGGGGAGCATCGCCTTTGCAACCTCGAAGGTTACAGATCTCGTTGTCAGGAACGAAAGACATCCACAGAATTATTAACTTTTGCTAAGTGGATGGATACTCATCGTTTAGTTTAAGCTTAAAAGTTGTCAGAACGACAAAAGTGTTTCTTCGAAGCAACAGGCAAACATAGCACAAACACGAGCATGCAGAGCACGTCAAAGTATTGCTGCACCCCCGTGGGCTTTAAAATGATGTGGAGATATCGACACCGCCCAGTCTACCATCGGCATATCCTCCAGCGCGGTTCTGTGCGTTGGCCAGATCGAATTCGCCGCTCGCACCCACCGCCTCACTTTCCACACGATCATCTTCAGCCAATTCCTCACGTAGCCAGTGTTCCACCACTTTGTACATCGGGATCTTCCGCGCGTCAGTACACTGCTCAATTGGACCGTAGAACCCCACTGTGCCGCGACGAATATACAGCACATCAGACGCCCAGACGTCCGTCCCATCAAAGATGTGCGTGGCCAGCAGCACAGTCGCCTGTCGGCTCTCCGTCTCCTCCTTTAAGAACGCCAGAACGTTCTCACGCGAGATGATGTCGAGCATACCGAGCACTTCGTCTAGCACGATGAGCTGCGACGGTCTCAGTAGCGCCAGAAAGAGCTGCACGCGACGACGCTGACCGTCCGACAGGCGGTGCAGACGCCACTTTGGGTCGATACGCAGCACTTTTAGTAACTTTTGGCGTCGCTCTGGGTGTTCGCTTTGCAGTTTGGTCATCATTTCCTCCACTGCCATGTCGGCAGAGTACGCCATAGCGTGTGTAGCGAAAGCCACGGAGCGCTGGCCCCAGTCGGCACTCACGAACGTCCTTAAAGCGTTCAGTGTCGTGTCACGGAAGCTGTCTCGACCAAAGATCAACGCCGTGTCGTCGGCTGTCAGGTGCTTGCCAGCCAAGATACTGAGCAACGTGCTCTTGCCAGCGCCATTGCCACCGACGACCAACACGCGCTGACCAGGCTGCAACGTTAAACTCACGTCACGAAGGACTCGATCGTCCTCTTGAATGGTGTCACCAGTGACAGGGTCATGTTGTAAGCGGTTGATGAGCTGGCCGCCGATAGTCACCTTGGCAAACGCGAAGTTGAGGCGGCGAAGCTCCACGGGAGGAGGAGAACCTTGAGAGTGGGGATTGGTGGCCATAGTGGACGTAAAAATGGTCAGGTCTAATTAACTGAGGGAACTTGAGTCGCAAAATGGTCAGGCCCAATTAACTGAGGGAACTTGGGTCGCATTCCCTAGAATAAGATTCTCGAGCTAGCACATTGCAAATTTGTGGTACTTAATAGCTATCTTGTATCGGATTCTTGTGTCGAAGCAGTTGTTGCTCCTCCACACCGTGTGAGTGGATATGATCCCCATGTGCCCAGACAAAAAGCCCACCCCCTTCGAGTGCAGAATATTTCTAAGCAATGGTCTTTCCAATCACGATCTTGGTCTCGCAGTCACCGCTCGAAAGCTGCAAGCTTCCCCTGTCCTAAAAGCCTGAACTTGAGTAACTCCAGAATATTTCTCGCTGCATTAAGTCTCGATTCCAGAAGTGGGCCTTGTATCGACTGTTCTTGCAGCACAAGACGTTTCTGGTTTTTTTTTTCAAGACGATCGAGGTCCTTTCGGTCTCTCGGTCTTTTACCTCCATCATTAGCCGAGCTGAAAGGAGGCGCTCGTGGCAGCCGGAGTACGGCTTACTGGTGTGAAACTCGTCCATGGGCTAAGCTCTCCGTTCCAGTTCTTTCTTGGGTGTCTGTACTGGAGCTCTAGGATTTCCACGAAGACCATCCTAGCAGCTCCAAACACCCAATGCGATGCAGACCTGCGCACTCCGAATCGGATCAAGTCGCTTGGCAATCGCAGTCAGCGCCTGCATCTTCGAACTTATGGTTAAGAATTTCCACTTTCGAAACGATTTTTTTGGCCGAAAACGACCCGAGAAATCCCACGTGCTCCACAGAATACTGGAGACGATCCATGAATGTTGTCAGCTGACTAAAGTAGAGGAAGTAACTTGTCCCGAATAGTGAAACTTCCAGAGTGAGTCTCTGGGTACGAGAGGTTTATTTATCACATGTTTAATTTGTCTTGGTCTTTGTATGGACACGTCTTCCCATAGTAAGACCGAGATGTACGCGCCCTGTACCTCCGAAGAGGTCCAATCTGTATTTACCGCGATGGGTCCGGTCCAGAGACCTTACCGATCAGTACGCACTCGACCTGACGTTGATCAGGCGCCGACGTGCGCCGGTTATCACATTCTGCGCGTCCAACAGAGGGTCGCAAAATCACGCTGCGATCCACTCTGACACACAGTGCCCTGGACTGCCGACTAACATAGGGGGTACTCCGATAACCGTGGGGTTGCTGAGGGCTCACCTTGTGTACCCGTCGGCGGGGCTGGTTACACTCCTCTGGTGGACTTGATGAGAAGCTTGGCCTGGATTGGTTTCGTCTTGGTGGGGCGCAGGATGGTGGGGTTGCGTAGCGTGGATACTCTTCAAGCTACACGCCAGGTAGGTCGTCGATCTTGATCGACTTGATGTGTGTGTGTTCCTTTACGGGGGGGGGGGTTCCTTGTTTCTTTCCTTCCTTGCGAGGCTTGACCGCTTCCTATAGCGGGGGAGTTGAGGGCGAGAGTGGAGACGATCGACCGGCCAAGCTGCAAACTCCGGCGACTGAC